TAATAATGTTTGAAAAGGAAGCAAGGAAATTTTGGAGATTTTTTTTTTTTTTTTTGGGTCCGGTCGTGGGGCCTGAACTCTGGGCCTGGGTGCTGTCCCTCAGCTCTTCAGCTCAAGGCTAGCACTCTACCACTTGAGCCACAGCGCCACTTCCGGCTTTTTTCTTTTTGCTTATGTGGTGCTGAGGAATTGAACCCAGGACCTCATGCATGCAAGGCAAGCGCTCTACCACTGAGCCATCTTCCCAGCCTGAGAAAGTTTTTTTTTCAACAAATGATGCCTGAAAAACTAGACATTCACTTGCAAAACTGTAAATCTAGTTAGAAATCTTATACCTTTTGCAGAAATCAACAAGGATAAAAGGCCTAAAGTTTAGAAATATAAATCTCACTGAAGATAACACAGAAGAAAACTTTTTAAAATTTTTGTTGGTATATTTTGTTGGTTGTGGGGTTTGAACTCTAGGTCTGGGCACTGTTTCAGCTCTCCAGCTCAAGGCTAGTACCCTACCACTTGAGCCACAGCTCTACTTCTGGCCTTTTCTGCTTATATGGTGCTGAGGAATCGAACCCAGGGCCTCATGCAGGCAAGGCAAGCACTCTACCACTGAGCCAACTTCCCAGCACAAGAAAACTTTTTAAGATGCATAACCAAAGGTGTAATACATTAAAAGAAACAAAAAGTTACCTTATTAAAATAAAAAATTTAACCTGGGGCTAGTAGAACACACCTGTAATCCTATTACTCAGGAGTTTGAGATCTGAAGATCTACCAGACAGAAAAGTCCTTGAGACTCTTACCCCCAGTTAACCAGCAAAAATCCAGAAGTAGAGGTGTGGCTCAAGTGCTAGTGTGTCATCTGAGTGGAACAGCTAAGTGAGAGCAAGAGGCCCCAGTACCTGCACCAAGACACAAAAACAACAACCCCCCCCACACACACACATTCAGTGAGTCACATCTGTAATCCTAGCTACTTGTAAGGTAGAGATCTGGATGGAAAATTGTAGTTCCAAGTCAGGTTGGGCAAAAAGTTGGGGACATCCTAACTCAGCCAGTGAAAAGCTGGGCAAAGTAGTGCACACACAAATGAAATGCCAGCCTTACTCTGATTGTAATTTAAACGTATTTATGGAGAAGATTTTGTTGGAGAAATTTTACTACAGATTGGACTTTAGATTGTATCAAGCAAGTTATTTTTTCTACTAGTATGGATGCTTGAATCCAGGGCCTAGGCTTTGTCTGGCTTGACCTTCTTGCTCACAGCTGATGCTCTAATACTTGAGCCACACCTTCAGTCCTGATTAATTGGACTCCTTCAGACTTTTCTGTTGAGATTGGCTTCACAGATCTCAGCTACCTTGGTAGAACTGCAGCTTGAGCCACTGCACCCAGTTTGTTTATTTTTTGGGGGGGGGGTCCAGTCGTGGGGCCTGAACTCTGGGCCTGGGCACTGTCCCTCAGCTCTTCAGCTCAAGGCTAGCACTCTAACCACTTGAGCCAAGCGCCACTTCCGGCTTTTTTTTTTTCTGCTTATGTGGTGCTGAGGAATTGAACCCAGGGCCTCAGGCATGCAAGGCAAGCGCTCTACCACTGAGCCACCTTCCCAGCCCTGTTAATTATTTTTTATGTGTGACACTAGTATGGTATTTATAAATGAAAATATCTGTGTTTTTAGAGATGTGTTTTAGAGATATTTCTGGGACTTATTTGAGAATGCTGCAGCCAAGAGAAAGGATAGTTGAAATAAATGTGGCACAGTCTTAAAACCTGGTGAATTTGGGTGAAAACACAGAAAAGATACTCTGAGTATGTTTGAAAATTAAAACTATTAGTGATTATAAGCATGAGAAGGTGTTAAGTATATAAGCTTGCGCCTTGATAAAATTGTAGTTTTCTCCCCCCACTCCCCCCATTTCTTTTCTATCTCCTCTCTTCCCCCCTTTTTTTTTGGGGGGGTCTGGTCATGGGGCCTGAACTCTGGGCCTGGGCACTGTCCCTCAGCTCTTCAGCTAAAGGCTAGCACCCTACCACTTGGAGCCACAGCGCCACTTCCGGCTTTTTTCTTTTTTTGTTTATGTGGTGCTGAGGAATCGAACCCAGGGCCTCATGCATGCAAGGCAAGCGCTCTACCACTGAGCCACCTTCCTATCCTCTCTTCCCTTTTTTCTCTCTAGTTTTGTGATTTCACAGATTTCTATATTCAATCCCAGATACACAGCTACCACTATTTCTTAGGCATCTATAATCTGCATATTGTATATACTGTATATTGTATCTCTGACAGAATTTCAAAATATTTTAACAGTGATAAGAAATGATGTCAAACCAATGTTGAGAGAGTAGTGGTTTCTTAAATGATTTTGTTCTGAATTTAATATAAGATTTTTTGCCCGTTTAATTCCTGGGACTAGTTTTTAGTTAATGAATTTTTGGTGACACTGGACTTTGGACTCAGAGCCTCAAGCTTGCTATGCTTGAGGCATGATTCTTTTTTGTTTTAGATATTTTTTGACTAGAGTCTCATGTTTTTTACTAGGACTTTCTAGCCATCCTCCTCCTTGTGGCTGGGATCACAGTGTGGACCACCTTATCTGGCTTGTTTGTTGAGATGGAATCTTTCTGACTTTTCCCCCTGACTGGCAGAACTCCAGCTACTACCCTGCTAATTTTTGTTTCCTGATTAACTGGGGTTACAGGTGTGCAGCACCATGCCTAACCGTCTCAAGTGTTTAATAACAATGAATGTCTTCACAACTTTTCAGGGCTCTTTGATACTGTTTGATTTTTACAAGTGGTTAGACATTTTTTGCAAAAAAACAAAAAGTGTTGCCACTCTCTTAGGAAACTAAGGCCTGAGGGTCTTGTGATCCTCTTAAAGTTGTAAAGTTAGAACTGAATTTTAATTTTAAAGTCAGTTTTATTTTCAGGGCCATTTTGTTTAGATTCTATATTCTCAAAGGATGTTGATGACTGTTCTTTATATCTCTTGCAACTTTTAAATACTTAAAGGTATAAAAATTAAGATATGTAACTAAGAAGTATTAAATATATCTTAAAATTAAGATACATTAAATATATATCTTAAAATTATACAATAAATATATGTAATTAAGATAATAAAGATGAGACAGCAGTGTATTGAAAAAAAGTTTTGGAGAAAAAGATTTAATATGGGGCTGGGAAGGTGGCTCAGTGGTAGAGTGCTTGCCTTGCATGCACGAGGCCCTGGGTTCAATTCCTCAGCACCACATAAGCAGAAAAAGCCGGAAGTGGTGCTATGGTTCAAGTGGTAGATCACTAGCCTTGAGCTGAAGAGCTGAGGGACAGTGCCCAGGCCCAGAGTTCAGGCTCCACAACTGACAAAGAAAAAAAAAGGTTTAATATCCAGGCATACAAAATGTTTTTCCAGATCAGAAGGAAAACAGTTGAAAGAATCAAAGAATCGCAGATAAGCTGGGCAGTGGTTTGCAAGCCTATAAATCCTTGTACTTTGAGGGGTGTTGCAGGAGGATTATAAATTAAAGGCCAGTCTGGGTACATAATTGGAGATTATCTCAAAATAAAATGAAGAAGAAAAAAAATGAAAAAAGATAGAGCATATCACCAGAGAGGAAATTCTAGTCACTAATAAATGAATGAAAAAGTACTCTATTAGTAGGGAATGTAAATTAAAAAGATGATCAGCTTAGCTGGGAACTAGTGCTTTATGCCTGTAAGCCTACCTATACAGGAGGCTGAGATCTAAGGTTTGTAGTTTGAAGCCAGCCCATCAGGAAAGTCTGTGAGACTCTTCATCTCCAGTTAACTAGCAAAACCCAGAAGTGGAATTGTGGCTCAAGTGGTAGAATTTCAGCAACAGTATCCAGGTCCTGAATTCAAGCCCCAATACTGACACAAAAAATAAAGGATGACCCCCTTACACTAAAGGTGTTCACAAGAATTTTTTTTTTTAATAGAGAGTACTGACTGTTAGGAAGGATGGAAAACAGGCACATTCCCATATACTGATAATAGGTTCATCTTTTTCAGAACTCAGTGTGACTACTAATATCTGTCCTACATAGGCTTAAATCAATCTAGTATGTAGGAGATGGTAAGGGGATGCTGTGAAATTCTAACTTAAAAAAACCAGAAAACCTGGATGTGGCACTCTTGCTTTTTCTTCTCTGTGAAATATTTCTTGGAGGTTTATTTTGTGGAAGATACTATACTAATAAACAATTCCAACAAATTATTATTATTACTATTGCCAATCCTGGACCTTGCTAATCTGGCCCTGGGTGGTGTCCCTAAGCTCCTTTTGCTCAAGGCTAGCACCCTACTGCTTGAACCACAGCACCACTTCTGGCTTATTCTGTGATTAATTGGAGATAAGAGTCTTATGGACTTTCCTGCCTGGGCTTGCTTTGAGCTGCGATTCTCAGATCTCAGCCTCCTGAGTAGTTAGAATTACAGGGATGAGCCTCCAATAAATTATTTTTTCATTACAAAACCCCTGTGAAGTAGTAATTTTTTAATTTTCTCAGTCTACAGATATGTGTACTAAGCCCAGAGAAGTTAATTTGACAAACTTCATGGTGGATGAGCCTAAGTACAACTCTAAAAAACTATGGCTTTGAGCACTGCGTTATTAGTTAACAGTAGATATGACACCCAGCTAAGTTTCATTCTTTATTAATTTGGCCCACACCTGTAATTCCAGCCACTTGGGAGGCAGAGGCATAAAGGTTGCAGGTTCCAAGGTCAGACTGGGCAAAGGTATTGAGATCTCATTTCAGAAAAATTTTTAAAAGGACTTAAGGGGTATGGCTCAAGTGGTAGAATGCTTGCTTAGGAAGCAAAATAGTAGCCCTGGGTTCATCCCTAGTACTACAATAACTGAATTATTTTATTAAAAATGGTGTTATGCTCTATGTAACATTTTAAAATCTAGATTTATTAGATTTCTAGTCTGATAAAGTGAACCTTTTATTAATAGGAAGTCTTTGACTTTTTTCCAG